CGATCTCCGAATATCTAGTTTCTGCACCCTGCAAAATTTTGCTAACATAGTAGATAGGTCATTGAACCCGATCTATTTCTTTGATCAGTACCGAACTAACCACCTCATCGCTCGCGAAGAGGTATAGTTTTAACACGTCCCCTTCTTCGGATCGAGTTAAAACTAGGGCGGTACCTAAGTACTTTTTCAGCTCGTCAAAAGTGAATTGGATTCTTTAGTCCACTCGAAATCTTTGCTCTTTTTTATGGCTTTAAAAAAGGGTAAGCACCGGTCTGCTGATTTGGACATGATTTGACTCATGGCGGCTATCCGACGAGTGAGCCTTTGAACCTCTTTTATTTTGTAGGGTGGTATCATATCTAAAATCGCTTTTATTTTGTCTGGGTTGGCCTCGATGCTGCATCGATTGACTATATAGCCTAGAAATTTTCCTAAAGTGACACCGAAGATGCATTTATTCGGATTCAACTTCATGTTATATCTTCGTAAAATTTGAAAAACATCTTTTAAATCATTTGACAAAGAATTTGAAACTAGGTCTTCACAACCATGTCATCAACATAACATTCTACTTTATTGCCGATTAACGGCTCAAAAATCTTATTTGCAAGGCGATGGAATGTTGCCCCAGCATTTTTTAACCTGAAGGGCATGACCTTGTAACAGTATAACCCGAGCTCAGTTATGAAAGTGGTATTCTCTTCGTCAACAGGATCCATCTTTATCTGGTTGTAACTGGAATGGCAATAGACATTCGGATTTTTTGCTGTCGGGTCTCCCCTTAGCCTGGGAGGCCATTTGACAAAGGAGGAGTCCTTAATAGTCATTATGATCTCTCATCGCTTGGCGTTCAAAGGCGTGTACTTATTCTCTCCACAGGTGGGGTCCTAGAGTGCCGATCTGACTTACGGGTGTGCGAGGGGGACCGGCTTCTTGACTTGCTTCTTCCCCTGCTCGGGGACTTGCTTTTCTTCATTTTCTGCCCACTATTGCTTGTTCCTTCATTCTCTCTCTTCCTCTTTTCAGGCGATGGATTGTCGATCTTTTGGTTGATCTCCTCCTCGGTACCGATGAACTGATTTTCTAACTTAAGAAATTCGGTGATATCTTTTGGTTTGTTAGATACCACATGCCACTTGAACTCTTTATGGGTAATTCCTTTCTTTGCCGCAGTGAGTCATACCGCTGGGTTGAGGTCCGGTATCTGCAAGCAAGTATCATTGAAGCGCTTTATATAGCTTTGAATTGATTCTTCCTCCCTCTGAACCACGTTCATAAGGTTTTCTTGCGACTTCGGGCACTTCTTACTGGTAATGAAGTGCGTAAACAGGTCGGCGAACTGGGACCAGCTTTTTATGGAGCCTGGTGCGAGGTTCTGATACCAAGTTCGGACTACACCCTAAATGTAGTGGAGAAAGCCACACACATGCAAGACTCATCAGCCCCTGATAGGTGCATCTGAGATTGGAAAGAGTCCACATGATCGTTGAGGTCAAACAACTCATCATACTTATCTAACGGAGGCACCTTGAAGTCTTTTGGCATTGGAGTTGCTAAGAGCTCGGGAGACAGAGGGGATGACTGGCGAAGTAACAGAGGCGCAGTCTTCGTAGCCACCGAGCTCACTTCTTCCTTTCCTTTGGCTTGCTCTTCTTGCCGGCCTGGCTTCACCGACAAACTGTTTATAGCCAAGGGGTGGTGTGTCTTGCGCCGTCGCCGCCGCTGCTTCTTTGCTGGCTCAGCGTTGGTACTACTGACTTTAGTCTGGTATTTCGGCATTATCGCGAGGTAGATCTTGGTTCCTTCTTGTTAGATTCTCTTGGTTGTGGGGCTCGTACTGGCTATCGCGAGGGACGAAGGGGTTTTGCCTTGAGTTTTCACCTCGAACTCTGAACTGGTTATTATCTCTTCGTGATCTCGAGTTCGCACCTCGAACTCCGAACTGATTATTATCTGCTCGTGAGCCGTCATTTTCCTACTGGGAGTGCCGAGGCGGATTGGTCCTGTTGGGCTGACTATCCCCGGACCTATTTCTGAAATTTCCTTGCAAAACTGGAGGAGTGTGCTGATCATCTCTCCTCCCACGAGGCGAAACCTGATCCCTGGGAGGAATCGGTACTTGCGAGGTCTCTTCACCCCGATGGGGAGATTGGTTGATGTTTTGGTTGGTCCAGGCCGATTCGGGTTCTAGCCCTGACGGAACCCTGGGTGTCGGGTGGAATCAACTGCTGGTTCGACTGCAGTGGTGGGAACTGGTGCTGATACTGTTGGTACAAATAGTATTGCTGACACTGTTGGACCTGCTGCATCTGGATTTGAATTGTCCGGACGCACTGAACGTGGTCATGGAGCTGGTAATGCCCGATTCCAGAGGAAACCGCAGATGGTTCAGAGAAAGTCACGCCCACCACTAGGAGAAGTGGGATGCTCACTTGCATGGTGCTCTGTGGTACGGACAGTGACAGGACTCCAGATAGTGTAAGCGGAATAGTAAACTGGACGATGCATACCATAGGACCTTGGGGGAAGGTTGATTGTTGAGCTTCCCCCTGGTGACGTTCATCTCGATACTTTTTCTAGTGTTGCTGGAAGAGTCCATCGGCGTAAGTTGAAAGATAAGATTGCAAATAAAGTTGGGATGACCTTTTTGATCGTTTCCCACAGACGGCGCCAATTGATGGTGCGCGATTTGGCTACTCCTAGCGGGAAGGCGATCCGAACTCCAGTTGGGCAACGAGCTAGACCGATCTGCAAAATAGTGGATCAGAGAACCCGGGGTAGCTAATCCGACAAGGTCGCTCCGATGCTTAAGTCAGTACTTATGTTTGTGAATGTGAGTTAAATGCTTGAGAGCTTGAGCGTTAGTGAGTAGAATAATCACGCGTACCTTTGCCTTGAGGTTTCATGACTTTATATACTGGAGTAGGCGTTGGCCTTACGAAAGATCTCCGAGATCTCCGAACTGTGCAGATAAGGTTTGTTCCGTTTTTAAAGGAGAGCAGTATGTTGATAAGGTTTATCGTTTACCTTCGATTCTGGCAGAGCTAGGATGAGTCTCATCGTGATCCCGAGAAATTCGGGGCCCGTTAAGGAGGCCTTTGGAGTCACTCATGTGGTATTTTGACTCTCTAGCCCCGAACTGACACTTCGATTCTTTGGTCCCGAACTGGATTGGGTGTTGCGGCGCCTCTACACCGAGGTGGTTTTTTGGGCTGAGGTGGCTCAGTGCCCGAGCTCTGAATGTTGCGAACTGGGTTCGCTTGGCCGAGTTGTCACCCCTCGATTAGATCGCGCCTACGTGTCCCCTTTCTTACTAGGTCGTGCCAAATCACCCTTCATCAGAAACGATGCAAATGGAGTGTAAATCCCGGTTTAGGGTAAATTTGCACTTTGGTTCAGTTTTGCCTGTGTTTGGCAACATTACATTTATGCATTAACAAATGATCGATCAATGCATATTTGCATTGATAATAAGATGTAAAAATACATTAATAAAAAAGAAGTAAATTTGCACTTAAGTGGGTTTTTAATAAAAAAAAGCATATACTTTATTGCAATTCATGTTTGAATCCATTATAGGTAAAAGTCTGTTTGGTAAGAAAATAAATTTGTTAGTGCAAAACTAACCCAACTTTACAATTTATATGAAGTGTTTTACACTACATATTTACATCGTTTCAAAACGCAGCCTTAGTTTCAATTTCTAACCCCGCTGCCACGAAAAAATGTTAGCTGGTAGTCCTAGTGGATATGTGGAATTGAGTCCTGCTATTACCACTTACTTCGAGTTATTAAAGTGTTGCGAATTCAAGGAAACTTCTTAAGTTTCTGTTTTTCCTCTATCAAACCAAACACAGCCTTAGAACATGAGAGATAATAGAGCATAAATAATAGCCATTAAATGTGATATATACTTAACAAAAAAGAAAATTTACCATTTCATTGTTTTGAGGGCAAAATTGTAATATAAATAAATTTATAAGGAAAATTAATTATTTGTTGATAAATAGTTGTATCATTATATTGAAAAGACAATATTAACCTTCAAAAATAGCATGTAACTAATTGTCTCTTCCAGCATTTTGTCAAGACTCCGTTCTTTTGTGACGAATATATTTATTGAAGTATCTGCATTTATCCATATTCTTTTGTTAGAAAATCACAATAATGTGATAAATTTTTCTATTGATGAAAAAATATGTGAGAGAGAGGAAAAATGCTTACCTGGCAAACTGAATCGATTTAAAGAAAATTCACTTTTTGTGGGCTGTATTATTATTTATTCCTTGCAAAATAACGTGAAGTTGACCAATTTTCTCCTCTTGCATTTTACTATAAAAAGACGAGGCACAAGCTGTGTTTAGTTTGAAGGAAAAGTAGAGAAAGGAAAGAAAAAGTAGGAAAACTTATTAATTCCGTTGGCGTTACTTTGAGCTAAAGCCGTAAATCACAGCCCTCGTATTGCTATGGGCCCACCATCTTGAATTGGATGAACGACGTTAAGATGGGCCCCCAAAATACATCCAAAGGCCGTCATTTCGGGTTTTAGTACATGTAACGCTGCCGGGAGTAGCGAATTTCAAAACAATGCTTTTTCAACAAGGAAAGATTGATTTTCCGATTCCTATTTCATCAACCATCGATTTTACATATCTTCGGTGATACACGGATGTGTTGTAGGAGAGCTAAATACCTCAAAGCACTGTATAACTCCTCTTGGAGGGAACTTCAAAAGTTTTGCGGGAATTCGTATGATGTGAATCGCGACACTCTTTTAAGTTTTAATTAACAATAAACAAACAATGGTTTAAAAAAACAATAAACTAATGTTGTATTTACGAAAATAACACTCCAAATGTTCATAATACCAAAAAGTGTAATTTTTAATCATGATTAAGACAAAGGCATGCAAGGGTATTTTTGCTAATTTTCTAAATTGTATTAATAAAATAACTTATCTCCTAAAACCCTAAAATGTGATCGAACTCCTTGAATTTCTTTGTTTAATCTCTGAAAAGGAATTCTGAGCACGAATTCCGGGATCTGAAAACCTTTTTCAGGTGAAAAAGCAACTAAGACAAGAGAACAACTTAATTTTGCAGATAGAAAGAAGTTTCTTTCTTTTAATTGGCAACTTATGTGAATCTTCTCATTATTTGATCGATCCAATGGCTGTGAAAATGTATAGCCCCGTGGAAGCACCGTAATACAGTATCTCACTTATCTCACCTGGCTTATTTTCTATTGTTCTGCTTATCTTTTCAATTAATTAGTTCTGTGTGATGTTCTGGTCTTCTGGGATCATTAATTTCAGAGGGAGAAATGTTTTTGAGTATTTAATTAGTACAAGCTGTCTCGAATTCTTGAATTTTTTTATGTTCTTTTGTTTTGTTTTGTTTTGGTTTTTTTTTTTTTTTTTTTAGTGCCAGTATAGAGAGAATGGAAGTGAAGAACTGAAGATGGTCTCATCGTCGTTGAGACTCCGCTTATGCGGGGAGCAGAAAGAGGACATGCAAATTGTTGACTTACTAAACGGCGGCGATGACTACGACGGAGGCGACGACTGCGACATGACGAAGAAGAGAGTCTGCAGTGGTGATGTTAGGTGTCGTTCGTCAAGGTCGATTCTGTTTCGTTGGTTTTCTTTGTTCAAGCGAGGGTCCAACAAGGAGCAGAGCAGCAACTCCAGGCGCAGCGTAGCGTCGTCGAAGTCCGAGGTGAAGAGAGACAACGAGTGGCAGGGGAGACGAAAGAAGGAGAGAGTAGGAGTTAGACGAGCTTTGTCTTTAAGCTGTTCGACGGGTGGAACCAAGGGCGAATCGTCTTCTTCCAGATTAGAGGAGACTGCCGGAGCTTCTGACATTGTTGCCCCATCAGGTGATGATTAATAATATTGCCTTCTCCCGCTTTTCTTATTTACGTTTGATTATTTTCTTTAACTGGTACATGCGTTTGTCAATAAAGCCTGAAGATCAATCTTTTTCCTCAAATTTTTGTTTCGTCAGACAAGCTTTTTATGTGATTTATACTGTTACATGCCCATCTTCACATTATCATGATTCTTACTGTTAAGGCTTTGTGGGGTGAGTTGAATAAGAAGTTCCTAGAATTTTAATTAGAATATAGGTTTTGCAACGGTGGGTAAGTGCGATTTAAATTAAAACTCAATGGGTTTCGTTATTAGCTTAGCGCGATTACGGGCTTAATGCATGCCAACGAAAATAGTAAATATTGGTAATAATAAAATATATCACAGCAGGAAATACTGGTGATCAGAAGCTGTAATGAATTCATGCGCATTTTTTGAATGAGCAATTAAACGCTGAGTTTCTGTCCTTCTCTTCATGTGGGTAGGAAAATCAGGAAATGCGGTCCTTTTAATGCTTCACTGAGTAAAGTGACAGGATTCAGATTATTGGAACTCTTCTGCCTACAAGCGGGAAAAGTTCAATATATACAGTCAATAACATGTCATAAACAATGATGGACTATGAATAGAAACCCTAATATGGATTCGCCTCAAGTTAATATGCCATGTTTTGTTCATGATGGCAAGGGAAAACTGGAAGAAGAATTTTCATAATTTTGCCACACCAATTTAGCTCCTTAAGGGATTGAAAAAGTTGAGTAGAACAAAGAAATATAATGCCATTTTTGTGGGTATGTTAGACTTGGATGTCATATAGAACTTTATGTAACATTTACTTTCGGTGCAAATTGAAACCCCAAATTTAGGATGGAATTGGATAAAAAACTATTAAATAGGGTGGCAAAATAGTCTTTAAGGAACCAGGATGCAACTAATTTTCACATGCCACTTTTCGATTAAAGTATATAACTGGTTGAAATAATGATGATGATGTGTGTACTTGCCTGTGCTAAATTCTAAATATATGAAGAAGTATGAGTTTCTTCTTTGGTGAGTAAAATCGTATGAACACCTTTAGTTGAATGTTATGATATAAAAATAAAATTCTCACCAACTAGCCTTACAGGATTTATTGCACATCAGTAGATTGGGAGTTAGGACCTCTCTTAATGCCTGCAATTTATCTCCTTTATTCATTGATTTAGAACTCTGTCAGAATTACTGTACTCTATAGGACTATTTGAGAATAGCTGAAAATGTTTTGTGGTTATGTTGTGTGGTCTGCTGTTAGCTTCTTAAAATGGTAATCAAACCTTCATCTGAATGTTATGAGATAGAATGCCCAGCAACTAGCCTTGCAGGATTTATTGTGCATGATTAGATTAGGACCCCAACATCATTGTACCTTATTGCCTGTCAGTGTTCATCTCCTTATTGGCTTAGAACTCTATATGAGTTGTTGTAGTCTATAAGAACATTTGGGAAAAGCTGAAAATGTGTTGTAGTTGTGGCTGTGTTGTGTGGTGTGCTATTATTTTTCTTATAATCACTAAGATATCAAAATCTGCTCTCACCACTTATTTCTTGTGAAAATCAATTTTTTTATGCAATATGAAGTTGTAAGCCAGGGATGGTTATACTTAGTATTTATTACATATTCCTTAGTTGGATTTAGTATTATGTTTTGGTAGATCCATCTTCTTCTTTTTTAGCTGATTCCATATAGTTGGGATGAGTTTTGGATGATGATGATGAGTTGCATCTTATCCTTTTTTCCTATAAGTTTTATTTACATTGTTGTAGGTTTTTTTCTTGCTTTTTTTAAGTTTCATATCTTTTCTCTTCTCCTTCCAGGAAGATATATAAAGGAGCCATCTTTCAGCTTGGGTCTAGGAGTTGGTCTGGCCTTTCTGCTTGCTGCAACAAAAAATGAATACTATAAGATGATTGAGCTTCGGACTCAAATGGAAACACTTCTTAAAGAAGCTAAATATGGACTTTGTAGGAGAGGGAAAATCTGTAAGCATTCTGATTCACATGGTAACCCCCCTTGTTCGATTGAAGAGTCACATGAAGGTGGAAACATGAATTACGATCTTTCAACTCAAAATTGTGAATCTTCTAAGCATCTTGTAGAGGCAGAAATTACCCTTGAATGTGGTCAGTGTTCGAAATCTAATACATCCATAAGGGAAGGTGTAGTGGGAATGGATCAGCTGGTGGCAGAGCTTGAAGTTGAATTAGAACGTTTGCAGCTCAATTTGGATACTGGAGTTTTTTCAGGTCATCCACAATTGCAATCAAGAGAGGTATATAGCATACTGAGCATATATCTTATTATCTTTTCTTTTTGTACTTTATTGTAATACTTTCTTAGTATGGATTGTTGTTTATTTTCAATTGGATCCTGTTGTGACTGTATGTTGTAAACATACTTTATTGTACAACATGATCATCTCAAGCAGGTTGGTAATTGATATTTGAGATCTATTATGTTGTAGTTGATGCATCATCGGATGGTGTATATAGTGCCTTTTATATTCTCAATCTATTGCAATTCTTTAAGTTGTAGATAGTACCGTTTATTTCATGATGCGGAGTTCCATCTCTCTCAGTTGTAGACAGTACTGTAAATCGTAACTTTTATGGTTTGGTTTTCTTTGGTCATGTTATATTTTTCTTTCATGAAGGCTTTAATCCCTCCTACTTTCTCATAAAACTTGTCTCTTGTAAGCATCGTTCTTTGCCTAGACTTTATAACAGGCCATTACCCAATGTTGGTCCCAGCTATTTGGGGTCTTGGTAGGGGTAGACTGGGGTACAGTTCCTAACCTGTGCGTGTTTTCCTGCACAAAGTGGCCACCCTTAGACTTGCCATCCCAAGAATTTATCGGTACACCAAGTAATTGGCCCTTTTGCCTAGACTGCATCCAAAGATATATTTCTGAATGAAACATCATTCAACTGTAATATAGACTTTCTCATCTTTTCTTTTTTAAATAAATTATATATCAGATTTAGATTTAATATGTTCATGGCTTGGTTGAACTCGAAGAAATGGTAAGTAGATAAGTGTTAACTAGAACTCTGAAATTATATAAAAAATTGGGTATGGACACATCTATCTTGTTGTTGTGGGAGTAACTAGCATTGGCCCTGAGCCATACAATCAATTTGAGCTTGAAGTCATATCCAAGATGTTCATACTTAAATAGTGGATATGGCAATCTATGTTAAGTAATGCATGTTTTACTCGATATAGTAGTTCTATATGAATAACCAATGTATTTTTGTAAGCACCTCTGCCATTAACGATTTATTCAATATTTTGATATATATTTTTACATTAATCTTTTCCCATTTTAATTTAACCTAGCCTTTTCCCATTTAGATTTTATTATACATTGTTTTACAGTTCACATGTTCATTTTAAATGAGGGCATAGATAAAAGTATGCCAATCTAATAAATGTTCTAATATCATTTATAGATGGGAAAATATAATTCATTGGAAGGGCTCCTTTTGCTTTGGTCATCTGGAATGATGGCACTCATTAACTGAGATTGTTCATCAGATAGAAAACCCTTTCAATTGGCCCCATGATTGGTCTTTTGCCAATGGTTGCTTTACATCGCATATTAAAATCTTTCTTTGTAATCCAGTGAACAACATGACCAGGGAAAAGGGCTGACATTTTCATGTGCAGGGTCCTATTGGTTTAAAACTTACCACATGATGAGAGTCGTGTGGACATGTGGAGTCCTTTTTTGAAGCAATGGAACTGTGATATTGAAGTACTGTGGGTAATCTTAAGTCTATTTTTGTATACAACTTGACCAGAAAGCCCATCTTCACCCAAAAAATAAAAGAAAAAAGCAGTAATGAGCCCATGCCCTTTTAAGGCTTTAAATATTTGTATATGTCTTCTTCTATGATATGATTTTATAGCAACAGTCTTGGTTGCTATTTATTTTAGGGAGTATTTTGGGTCTGGGGACACAGGACTGATACATGATTCCCATATGTTGCCACCTTTTCCATGTTTCAAGAATTTGGGACCCACCATTAAATAGGTCCCAAGCCCCAATTAAATGATTCTGGGCCAAAAATCAGCAAAAGCAGATGAATTTTGACCATATGATTTAGGCTTTATTTTTAGAGCTCGTTTTAACTTTAAGAAAAGCTTTCTCCACCAACCAATTAAATCTAGTAAAATCAAATGGTCATAACAGATAACCTTCTATACACTCTGAATTTTATTGTGGTCACAGATCCATCCAAAGGCTGTGTCCCCAGACACCATAAATGCCTTTATTTTACTATTCCGATATTCTCAAGATTTTATTTGCATAATTTTTATTAAATGGAAAAATTTAATTAATAACCATTTTTTGAGTCTTATAAACCATTTTCTTTCCTTATTTTGTAATTGGGTGTTATAAGCCTAGTTAATATGTTATTGTATGCTTTTATCGCTTCTGCTCTGTTATTCTTTTCTATTAAGTTGAAGTCAAGTATTTACCATTTTAGCATGTTTAGCATCATGGTCATACATATCTTCAGGTATATTTCTATACCTAAGGGATTGCTGTGATCTATCTGTTCCATTTCTTAATGCTTGTCTTCTGGTGTAATAAACAATTAAACATAACTTGATGCCTTTCATAATTAGTGGAAGGGGCTGAGTTTTTCTCATCTCAGCTTGGGTTTGTTACAAGCCTGGGCGCTAAGCTTGGATTTGGTTTCTTAAGAGCTCATTTAGGCTTTGCTCGGTTCACTTAAATCCTAGGTTTTAAATAGCAAAGTACGGAAAACATCATTGTCAAGCTAGCTCAATTACTGATGCCATGACTGATGATATAAAGGAAAACAGTCCTTGATTGTTTTTCCTTGCCTGGGTGGCTAAATGCACAAGGAAACAATCTAAATCAAAACAGAAAAAATCTTTTAATCTACATTCCATAGGAGCACTGTGAAATATCAGGAAAATAGGGGCAAAATGAACACGGAAAATCGGCAAAAATAGTACCAACAGGACCCAGAAAGTTTGATTGGAAAGCAAACCCCCTAAAATTCCTTGTAGATAAAGCATAGAAAATCAATTAAAACCGGTGTTAAGAAAACCGGACCGGCTGGTCGGACTGTGACCTGGGACTGTTACGATCCATTTGTCCTATATTGGTAGTTTGGGATGCTAATGTGAGGTATCCCACATTCGTAGTATGGGATACTGTTGTGGGATATATATGTGTTTGGGTTCCCTCCCTCTAACAGCTAGCTTTTAGGGGTGAGTTCTCCTAAGGCACATAACAGGGACCTTGGCCGGTTCGGTCATGCCCCAATAACCACACTTGATTAAAAACTGGTGGAAACCGGCTGACCGGAAAACTGGTGAACCGGTTCCAGTTTTGTGAAACTGCCTGGGTCCTTAACAATTGAAAATTTAAAATGTTTTTAGTAAGACTTGAATCCATGACCTCTAATTTCTATATATTGCTTAATTACCATTAGTCTACCTCTTGTGCATTTGGTACATCTTTATTGCGAGTCTTATACTCATTATCACTATGGCTGTGAGCCTGTAAATAAGTCAACAAGATCGGTCTGAGCTTCATTTTAGAGCTTGTGAGCAGAGATCAATCTTGGAGTAGTTCATTTAATGCTAATTGCTAAATGAGCTTGAGCCAAGCTTGGTTGGGCTCTTCTCATTAAGGATCTCTCTCAAAATTATAGCTCTTTTTTATCTCTATTGTTTCTTATGATTTTCTGTTTTATAATTTGTAGTCATTAATGCACAGTGAGGTTAGAGGTTTTAATCAATGTTCAGAAAACCGGACCAGGCATAGAACCGGAGAAGGGAGAGGTTCACGGGTCAGAGGTTCAACCGGAGGTTGAACAGTGATGACGTGGCATATGCATATATATACTATGGGTCATATAAATACTATATATAATACATTTTATAACTCGTAATGTATTTAAATATGGTAGTTAGATGGCAAGTTTCTTAATTTTTAAAGCAAATGACTAGGGTGCAGGTCTCTTGATTTACATTTTCTTTAAAATACATGTATAATAAAGTAATATGTACAATAAAGAGTTATTAAGTTAATTGTGACAATCATATAATAGAATGGCCTTTAACATTTTACTTATTAGATAATATTAATTATAATTGATTGTCTTATATTTTCTTTTTACAGTTTTGGTGTAACCATTATATATTCCTTTTACAACTTTCATTTCAAAGTCAATTTGTATTAAACTGAACTTTACAAAGGAAAAGTGGAAAATGGAATGGAACACTCTAAGAGGGAGATATAGAACGAATGAAGTTGTGTCTTAAATCAAAGAATAGGAGAAGATAAACAATTGAAGGGACAAAGCTGAAAGCCCTTTTTGTGTTGAATGTGACAACATAGAGGAGAGAGAACGCATGTGTTAATTGTAAATAAAAGGAAAACAATGAATGGATGGATCCCTTGTTTTAGTTAAAATTAGACAGGGGTAACCACAGAGGAGTTAAAGAAGGAACAAAGAGGGTGCAAAGCCCTATGATCTTCCATAGAGAAGATGTTGCTTTGCATCACTTATGGCTGAGAAGGTAAAATGTGGTATTTCATTAGCAAACCAAAGTATACAGAAGCCCCTGCACATAAGGGGTGTACAAAATGTAGATAGAAGTACAAAAGTCAAACAAAAGAGATCCAGAATAAAAAAAAAAAGAGTTAGCCTGAACTCCCTGAAAGGGTTTTTCAATCCTTAATCATGAACATCAGCTCTTTTAAATTACATTTTATTGTATCCATGTATGAGGCTTTGTTGTCAAAGATGCATGAGTTTCTTTCTCTCCATAATGTCCTTCACTCCATATAATAGCAGCAACCAGCAAGTAGTATTCCCCAAATAATTTTTCCTTTTCTACTTAGGCCTTGCAACCTTCATGCTTGGATTAATTCCAACATTGTTTTTAGGAGACAGCTTTGCACTCCAAAGCATGAAAAGGCTAACATCCAAAGGTGATGGGAAAGTTACAGTGAATAAATAGGTGAATTGAAGATTCTGGTACCTCATTACATAATGCCGTGTTTGATTTGAAGGAAAAGGTAGGGAAACTCGTACAAATCTTGTATGGGTTTCCCTACCTTTCCCTTCCTTAACTTTTCCTTCAAACCAAACACAGCCTAAGGGACTGGTATTGTTGTCTAGCAGCAATCCTCTTCTTATCAATAAATATTTAGTCAAACAGAGGCAAAACAGCGGCCTTTTGTGAAGAACTTGTGATGAAGGCTACTAGTTGAAGCCCTAC